TTCATAATTTGACTTTTGTGTGTGCATTACCAACATCATTTGTGTCCATGTGTGACAGTTATATGAACACAATATTTTCTCCTATATCTCCATCTGCTGGTTCAGAGAAAAAAAGTCAGACAAAACTGATGTTGATTTTTTCCATTTTTGTAACTTAACATTTTCCACAACAAATTTTGTTCTATGAATTTGAAATAGAAAATCCTTTTTTTCCAAAGACTTTAGATATTTTTTAAAAAATTATCATGACAAAGTTAAATGATTGCCCATTTATTCTGATTGAAAAGGAGGTTGGTCTCATATTCTCAGCAATGTTATCATAAGTCATATTTTCCAGGGTTGCAGGTTTTTTTTTTCTTGAAATGTTGTTTTCAGAAGTTTTTTTTAACTAATGAGACAGTCATCCTATAATTTTCAAAGTAGAGAAAAGTTCATCCCTCATCTCCAAAGTTTGCTCTTATCTGTTGCACTTAACTGAATTTAATTTGTTATAAGGCTGAATATGTCAAGATTTAGGACAATGTTTTCATAAGAATTCAAATCTTTAAAGGACAATTATGAATAACTAATGTAAAAAAGAAGCAAACCCGTGTTTCACTCTGAAAAGAAAAAAATTGACAAAAAAACAAATTGTCAGCAATGTGTAAAGGATACTATCCATATAACCAGGTGAGATAGATATTCCAAAAGGTTAAAAAAAAGTCACAAGAAGAACTAAAGAATAGAGTATTATGCTATAGGATACTATTAGATTAAACTGCTGAGTGTATGAGATACACATCTAAAATTTTTTACTATTATGCTCTGAAAATAAAATTCCATTTTGTGAGCAATTTAAAGGGGGGGGGGGTGAAGTCTATCATAGTAGTTCTATCTGCCTTGGAAGTAAAAATAAAATTCACAATATGTTTTCTTTTGTTTTGTTTCACTGACTCCAGGTAGTCAGTGAAATAACAGATAGCAAATGGATGCTTTTTTTTTTGATGGATAACTTTATTACCTCTGTTGTGAATGTTAAAGAGAAGAAAAGGAATGGAAGTGTTTCAGAGTTAAGCATATATGACTCTTACCTAAAAATAAATAAATAAAGCCTATGATCTCTTCATTTAGGTTTTTAACCATAC